TGCCCGGAATTGCGGGAGGTAGTATGATGTAAGTGAAATTTTTTTTTTGTTGCACTACTTATGATTGCCAGTGTAGAGCCAAACCCACCTTCCCCAATGTACTGCTTGTTTGTAAATTGATCAAAATCGATTAAATCCACGCCAAGATTGCTGATAGTAGATAATAGTGAGCCTGTAGAAATGTCTTTATCATTTGAAGAAACGGCACCCAATTCATTCAATTTTTTATCAGACTCTACACAAGATGTTTGTCGAAATTCATCTGCGATTCGAAATTCAGCCGTGATTTGTGAACGGATGTTTCGCCCCATTTCAAGATACAATTCACCCAATTTATTAATAATTTGTGTTATAGAGGGACGAAAGTTTGGATCATGATTTAAGCATTGTCTCATTAAGTTAGTATAACATTTTGGTGTACTTTCAGGCACAAGACTTAAATCTAGTCCTTTTTCAAGCTCTTGCATAAAAGGTGCTGAGAATCTGTACATAATTAAGCCAAATGTGTAAATATTACATTCTTTAGTAATCTTACGTTTTTCAAAGAATTCTGGACCTACATATTTCAATGCACAATATTTATATACATGGGATTGTTCACTATCAATTGCACAAAGAAAATCACGCAATGCAACTGTCTGGTCACTTTTTACAACAAATGAACCGGTCCCCAACGCAGAATAAGTAAATCCAGAATTAAAAAGGCATTGAAAATCCCTGGAAATTTGCCATAAAAAATTAAGCCTGGTTTTCCAACTTAAATTGATGCAATTTAATCGCAAATAATCAAGAAGCGATCCGTTATCAGCGTACTCACTAACGGATATGAGTGCATTTGTTTCTGGATCTCGTGACATCCCATACCAGTCAATTCCTGGAGCAAAATTATTATTTAGACAATGTAGAAAATTTTGGTGCTGTTTATGATAAATTAATTAGAAGTCTGCTAATTATAATAACGTCAGACCAACTTGATTCGGTTTTTACATTACTTTTTCTTCCCTTCTCTGCCCTCATGTTGCATAAAATCCATCCTCTTCCTCTCCCTCTTCACCTTATTCTTCCCCCTCCTTCTTCCTCTTTTGGAAGATGAATGTAATGAAAATTACTGAATTTAATTGGTCTGGCTTAATAAAAATAAAAATTTAATGACCTGCTGTATTACTTCTTTTACAGGCGTATTGAGAGAGTGGACCATCAAAGTCACAGGATGAGAGCTTGACCTGATATATTTTTGCAGCTTCGTATCCCACAAGATTCTTGGGCCTGAAGACCAGTAGACATCATACAGATTAACGACTGCTCCTCCATAGTTAAATTTATATGCTGAAAATTCGCTAAATGGAATCCATTCAAATACGCTTTCTGGTGAATTTGAGAACTCTGAATAAAGTGATCTATTTCTTTATTTCCGCTAGTCCAATTAGCGAAATTTTCGCGAAATTGCTGCACTTCACATGACTGACACCAACGATAGTGAGTCATTGAATTGCCACAATTTACACAGAGACCATAAATACTTTAATTATTCAGTAGCGTATATATATATATAGGTTAAAAAGTTTTGAAAATAAAGCTTAATGTATGTACTTAAGTAATTTTATACTCACTTCCTAATAATTTAAATTCTTGAAATTGATTAATCTGAGAAATTATTTTAAATAATTTCTGCATTACTCACATTCCTAACACTAATTGTTTAATGCAATAGATTCGAATAGTTTCTCCCTAGCGTTAGTGCTTTAATACGTACAGTAAAACCTCTACAAGTACATGCTCTTTGGATCAAATTTTAACAACGTGCACTTAAAGAACAATAAGAAAAAGTGCTGAGGTTATATATATGTGGGCCAGAATTTGTGCATGCATTTAGAGAGGGTGTGCGCTCACTTATTAAGGTTTTACTGTAGTACGTAATATATTTTGTACACCGTTCAAAATCTTATTTTTTTTTGATAAATTGCCACCGAAAATCATAATATGTACTACGTATATTTCCAAAAATTTAAACCTGTTTAATACTAATTTCCAGTATAATATCTAATATTAGATTTTTCAAGTGGTTTACCAGCAATAAAATGGTTGATTTTATTTATTTATTATTTTTTAAATTATATTCATAAATTTTAACAAATAATGCCTTGCCTTAATGAAGAAATCACAAAGTATATAGATTAGGCCACACCAAGCTGAGTTTTCGTTTAACATAAGCCTCTAATTTTTAAAACTTTACATATAATAATAAATAATACATGATATTAACCAATCAAATTCCAGCATTAGTTTTTTAAATTCTTTAAATGTTTTACAGCCAATAAAATTGCAGTGTTTTTTTTTGTTGATTTTTTTTCACCCCCCTTCTCTATAAAATATTTTATGTTATGTTAAACGAAAAATCCGCTTGGAGTGGCCTTACTAAGAAAAGATGTACGGTGTAATACCGATTGAACTTTGTAAAATCCAACGATAATTAACAAAATCTTTGCTGAAACCTTAAAAAATTTAACAATACAAATATTATATTGTTTTTGTATTGTAAATATATAATCATTAGTGTTGTTACTTTGCATTATACAATGCATTGTAAAAGCATAGTTTTATATTGTTACTATGTTGTAATATTATATATATCATATTTATAAAATTATTTATTTATTATTAAAAAATTATTGTAACTATACAAAATTTTTATTTATATTGTATATATTATTACATTTATATTATATTAAAAATACCCTTATTATACTCTAACCTTATTTTTAATACCACAAGTTAAAAAAGATAACACTAATTAATTATATATTACTAAAAAGAATAGATAGCACTAATGAATCATATAATATTAAATATAAGATGGTTAATATTAATACTGGTAGCTGGATATTAGAAAGTATAGGTAATACCGATGGATCATATGGTGTTGAATATTATTATTATCACGGAATTAATATCAAAAAGATGAGTAATGCTAATTGTCACGGTCAAACCCGGTTATACGTCAAAGTTGGAATTCACGCTATGTTGTACATGGCATAATAGTAGAAGAGAACTAGTATTGAGAAGCAAAGAATTAGCCACTCAAAGGGGTGAAGAAAATAATAAATAAATAACAAAAAAAAAAAAATTTGAAAAAAATTGCTTATCACGTTTCGCGTTTGGGATCATAATCTCATAATCACATGTATGATCGATTGAATCGCGGGTAGTAATAATCAGGGTCAATTGGATATTATCAATTGTTAGTAAAAGTGCATAAAAAATATGAGTCAAACTAAATGAATGAATAATAAGGTAATCTAAAATAGACAAAGATCGTATAATTAATTAATATGCAATAGATTAAGAGAA